ATTAAAAAATTTCCCCCTTCTCCCCCCCCCCCCCCCCCCCCCCCCCCCTCAGAGACTATTTTGACCATTTTCCCATTTTGAAATAGTTTTCATATAAAAATTTTGATAAGGACTCTTTGAGAACTTTTCCTTCACTTTTTTTTATGCAGATTGTTGAATTTGAGGGATCTCTAGAGCTGTTCATGGACCTCCAAGTCATCGGCGATCGAACACTAAGAAAACTTACCTTCTCACATGTTGTGCATAGCATTCGACACATGAATACAAAGCATAGAAATGAGGCACAAGATCGGAAACTTCATAATATTCTTTTCAAGCAGCTGCAGGTTTATGCCAATGTTCATTCTTTTCTTTTTCTTTCTCTCTTAAATAATAATTTGTTGATGTTAGTTATTTTATATTTGATTATTTTTTGTTATGGTTGTTTATCTTACTGGATGGTTTCACATATCTATAAATGTCGTCATTATATCTTAGCCAATTCTTTTAATATGTGCCTGTTAGGGAGATGAAGAACTACGAGCTAGGAGATCACTTGCTGTTCTTTGTGATCTTTATCGAAGAAAGGTGTGGTTTGATGCTCGTACAGCTAATGCCATCTGCAATGCATGCTTTCATAGTTCTTCAAGGTCTTTATATTACTCGTCTTTATTCATGAGACTTCAATGATTATTTCGATCTCAAGAATTTGGTGTCGACATATATCTATGAAGTTCTAGTAATTCTTTTGTTCTCTTTATTTTGTTGAGTTCAGGGTTATGGTGGCTGCTCTTTCTTTCCTGCTTGGTTTTGAAAACAATGAAGGTAATTTTGATGATAGTGACGCCTCAAGTAGCGATGATGATGAAACTAGTCAAAATCCACAAGTTTTTCTTAGCAGGGAGGATGTTTATAAGGTATTTTTATGACACTTATTTCTGTGGACGGTGATCTATTTCACTCTTTCAGATCAACACTTCATCTTCTTTTGTCTTAAATATAGATGTGCAAAACATCCTTTAACAGGAAGACAAGTCCATTAAACCAGAAACTTTTGGACCATAAGGCCATCTCTTAAACTTATATGTGAATTATTGATTAATGATCTCTAACTTATAAAACAAAAGTGCATATTAAAAAAGATGGAAGTTTGACGGGCAAGGATTTTTTGTAGTTTTTGACATCGCAGAAGTATATTTTTTTTGCATGTTGCATAGTTGTTAGAAAATATTTTGTGTCATAAGAAAACTCGCAATACATAAGGTGTTCAATTGTTTGTTTGGATTGATAATGCTTTCAATGAATTGTCGAAGACTGGTGATTGTTGAGAAGCAACAAATTTTTTTTCTAGTGATAAATTCATACTTGTTTCAGGCAAAGCACAAGGGCACTGCTTCTAGTAAGCGGAAAAAAAAGGCAAAATTGCAAAGGGTTATTCGTAGTATTAAAAGGCAGCACCGCAAATCATCAGAGAAGAGCGGCCCAAATTCCTATTCTCCTCTCACTCACCTAAACGATGCACAGGCTAGTTGATTTTTCAGTGAGATTTTTCTTCTTTTAATTTTCTTGATTCGTAGTCATAATGCATGCTTTATGTCTAACGTACAGGGTTTTGCTGAGAAGCTCTTCTCTCGTCTTCATACGTGCAATGAGAAATTTGAGGTTTTTTCTTGGCTTTTCTGTATTACATGATTAGTCACACCTAAATATTAATATGATTGATGAGCGGCGTATAACCCGCTTTTAGAAATCACCTTTGTTGTTATTTTTAGTCATCACTTGTTTTCTTTTTTTTCTTTTTGTTTTTTCTGTTAGGAGACAGGGAGTGCGGGTGGGATGGATGACTGTGCAAATATTTGTTTTTGGAATGCAAAATTGTTTGAAGAAGTTTATTAACCACATTTTCTGAGCGTATTATTAGTTTAATTTCATCAAGGGCTTTTTGTACATAGAATTAAAAGCTGGCTTGGTGGATAGCATTAGTTAATCATACAAAGATTGATTTAAAAATGAATTGGAGTATGATTGGAAACTATTACATAAGTAATAATTATAGGCTACCAACATGATTTTTGATAACATTGTTTTGTAGCTTTGCTATGTAAAATTTAGCTGCTGAACATGATATCCTCACATCAAATTGTCGGCCCAATTTTCGTTAAGCCATGGTTCTTCACCAATTTTGACTTGGGGCGTATATGTAAATACATTAGAATTGTGACCTTTGTATGTAAATTCCCCATATATTTTTTTTTGGAAAAGATTGATGCTAAGGACTATTCTTATGGAAACCATTTTTATAGTTGATCTGCCATCAGAAAGCTACTAGCTTACATCTCTGCACCTTCTTCTCCACGTTTCCTTCTGCTGTCATGGAGTTTTGAAACAATTATTTACATTTGGCCAATTGTGGCACTTTATGGAATTTGGAGAATTTCAGAATATAGGATTCTTGGTTCCTATTTAAACCGATGGTCATAACCAATGAGTAAATATGGAAGTTGAGTCGTGAGTTTATTGATATTTTTTCATACCTCGTGCCAATTCCTGTTATACAGCAGACTATTTGAACTGCAGTTTGGTTATTTATGATGAACATAAGAAGCTGCCCAGTTTTTTGCTGTTGTTTTATGTATCATTTTCTTGATAAAGTGTTACCCTCTCAATTTGAGGGCAATTGGCTTTTGATTATAGAAAAATATTGCTTGAATACTGGAGAAGTTTTTTTTGAAACTTTTAATTAAATATTTACTGCTTAAGGAAAGTTTGGTTATGGATTGAAAAGACATTATCTTCATTCCTGCCAATTCGCTTACTGATAATGTTTTATACTATTATCAATCACTATTTCCATCTGTGGTAGTGATCACCATGCCATTTGGTTATGAATGGAATGCTAGTGATCATCATGCCATTTGGTTATGAATGGAATGCTTACTCCTTTTTAAATTTGTGTGATTAGATAGTGCTTTGAAGGGTTGCTTTTGGTATTTTTGGAATTTTTGTTTGATATCTGAGAAATTATCTATATTATTGCTTAATTGAAAATTCCAGCCAATTAGTGAAATCGTTAGCTCTAAATTTATATAATTTTCTTGTCTGAGTCTTCAAAATAGTGGATTTTGTTGGATCGATTGGACTATGATACAAACCAGAGCCAAGATCAACAAACCAATGACAAGAAATAGGTGGGAAAATCCAAACTTGGGCTAATTTGATCAATCTCCAAACAAACACACAAGTAATGAGTGAATTACAATTTGAGAGGTAGATCAATTTTCCACAATCCTTATATGCCGCTAGGAACAAGGAGACAAAAAGAAAACTACAAGAATCCAAACATGAAAATAAACTATAGGTGATTAACCACCGCAAAACACACTCCCCCCCCCCCCCCCCCCAAAAACCTCCCTAATTTCTCTCCTTGCATGCACTATTAGGGACTTAACCGGCCTTAGATGATAGGAATTGCTTATGGATCACTTCATAGGACTTCTAAGTTCCTTCATAATCTGATAGATCTTCCACTTAGTTAGCACGTTTTTTGCTCGTCACTCCTCGACGCACTCCTTCTACCTCCAAAGATTCCTAAATCACCTTCATGTCCTCTATTAGCATCAGAGTAGTGCAGACGAGGGTGTGGTCTCCAATAGCACTCTCAGTTGTGTTACGTGAAATACTGGATGCAATGATAATGATGGTGGTAAACTTATACGGCATGCCACTGCGCCAATGTGTGCCACACTCTCATAGGGTCTGAAATATTGCGGGGAAAGCTTCACACTCCTCTTAACCAGTGCCTTTTGCTGGCGAGACTCAAATTCAAATAAACCATGTCCTTGGGCTTAAATTTTACCTTCTTCCACTGTCCATCATCTTTTCTTTTCATGGTTTGTTAGGCCCTCAGATAAATGTCCTTTGAGCTCTGCTAATATCTTGCTCCTCTTCTCCAAGTATTAGTCTGCATTGGATATTAATGTAGTGCTATGCCCATAGTGTATCAGGTGAAGTTGATCTCGCCTATACAAAATCCTGAAATAAGTGGTCTGTGCTGTAATATGGTATGAAGTGTTGTAATAGTACTCAGCCCAAGCAATCCACCTTGTCGAAAGCTTCAACAGGTCTGATACAAAACAACAAAGGCACATCTTAACCCTCATGTTGACCACTTCCGTCTGCTCATCTATTCAGAGACTGCCCCTTGTAATCTGAATAGTTCCTTCTAGAAATGACTGAGGAACATCTTGTCACTGTCTGATATAAGGGATTCTAGAGCATTAGGCAAACAAACCACTTATTGTAAAAACTCTATTACGACGGAGACAACAGTGTCAGGGGTGTCTCAAGAGAATGAAGTATGCAAACTTGTTCATGCAATCCACTACCACTAATATCACAATAAATCTTTTAGATCGAAATGTGGCCGAAGCATTGGTAAGGCCGAATGACATCACTCAAAACTCATAATGTCTTTCATGAGTTCTGAAAGCTGTCTCATGCACATCAACTGACTTCATCTTAATTTGATGGTATCCTAACATCAGATCAATTTTCGAGAAGATGATTGCTCCTAAAAGCTCATTTACTAACTCATCAATCAGTGGAATAGAAAACTTTTCCAATATAGTTTCATTGTTCAGAGTCCTATAATCCACACAAAACCTCTAGCTACCATCATTCTTCTTCACCAATAACACTGAATTGAAAAAAAAGTCTCACACTGAGCCTAATAATCTTTGCCTTGAGCATCTCTCTGGTCAACTTCTCTATCTCATTCTTTTGAATCTGGAGATACAAGTATGGTCTGACATTGATATGAGGACCCCTTCCTTCAATGTAATGGCATGCTCGTGCTCCCTCGATGACGATAACCAACTTGGCTGCAGAAATGTGTCAGAAAACGACTACATAAGAGGTTGAACACACTCAGGGAACTCTACTAACTTTGGATCCCATATCTCCTCTAGATTCTAGAATTTCACTAAATAGCCCAATCATTCTCACTTTATCATCTTGACCATGATTTTGAATGAGTCCATAGTTTTACACAAGATAGCATCCCCTCTTAGCACTAGCTTCCTACCCTCCACCCTAATCTTCATAGTCAGGAATTTCTTATCCACCCTCGTCTCTCCGATTGTCTGTTGTTGCTTCATTCTCAGAATCATATCAGTGCTTCTTAAGTTCAAGGGAAGGAAGTCCTCCACCACCTATATTTCCTATAGTGTCAACATTATTCCCTTGTAAATTCCCTATCTTTTCTTCACCATCCCTGTCCTCATCATGACCCAATATTTTCTGTATCTACCAACTTCAACCACAATTAGTCCACAACCCGATTTGAGATGATGTTTTGAGTTGCCTCTCTATCCACCAGCACTGCTGCAGGCTACTCCTCAATTTGTCCGCTCATCTACTTGGTGTGTTTGTAGTAAATCATACCATTGAGTTGAGGGACACATTTACTACATCAAGGTGTAGGTGCTCCTCTCCTTTCAACTCCTCACTATCCGTCTCTTTCCCATCACAAATTGTAAGGACCTAGAGCGTGCGAGCATTTGTGGTTTGGTGCATAATTCTTATTACATCAAAAACTTTTCCCTTTGCTCTTTTGTCTGCACCTTTGCCTTCGCGAGCTGCTTGAAGTTGACCCCTAGACGAGCCCTCATATTCCTCTCTTTTAATGCCTCTCTTTGAAATGACACGGCGGGTCCTCTGTGTCAAGGTGTCAATGCACTCATGTGGAATCCTTTCATGATGTTGCTTCTCCCGACCCTCTCCATTTTGCTCTCGTCTTCTCTCATTTGGGCTTGCTCTATCATCTCTCTCAATCCCTAAAATTTCAACTGTTGGAGGGTTGCATGTATGTTGGTTTTTAGATCTTTTATGAAATGTCCCTCCAATACCGCTTAAAAAATTCCCCTAATCCATTCTGACTATAACTCAAATCTCTCTTTTACTCTATGACAGCCCTCTCCCGAGTCAAGACAAAGAATTTCTTGTGTAGGTCTCTTTTCCGAATGACTTGGAAATGTTCTAACAAACACTTCTAAATACCTCCCATGAGCGGATCAGGTGTCTAGTCTCTTTCAACTGAAATTATGCTAGGCTTGTTTTTGCAAACATAACCATGCGATAATGAGCTTCTTCTCCTCATTTAGTTCATTCACCGTGAAATATTGCTTCACCCAATACACACAGCCTTGTTCGTTTTCCCTCTCGGAGATTGTCATATTTAACTTCCAAATTTTAGCATCTTCACCATGAGGGACCAACCTAACAAACTTCTTGGACCGACGAAACAAGACTATTGCTCAATGTGCTGTTTAAGTAGCTGACCAAATATAATTTTATTTCATTGACATATTTCACTTGCTTAGTCATCGTTATCCCAAACATCACTATTTCCTTAGTTTGGCAATGGAGTTTCACAAATTTCTTTTTGTTGATAACTTGTTATCATTTTAAACAGGGTTAGCAGTTGGGTGATTTCTAGTCATCAATGTGGATGTTATAAATATAGTTATTGCTCCTCAAGTTGGATTCAGAATAATATAGAGGAAGTAATGTGAAAAACCAAAACTGGGGAGGGATTGTTATTCTATTGCAATATGTACTCGTATAGTTATTTTGGGTGATTTACATGGACACTGATTTTACTAGGATGGGATATCGTAGGATTCATTATGAGGATGAAATTCGAGAGAGAAATAAGACGGGAGAACTGGTAGTTGGTCTTGCTCTAGCATATAATTTTGCTATAATTTTATATATTTACATAATTAAATGGATTCTTTGGTTGTTTTCATAAGCTGTGTCACAGAATCAGCTAATTAAATAACTAATTTGGTTTCACTGCATAGTGGTTGCTATTAATGTATACAACACCAACATAATGAAAAACAAACAAAATATGCAATTACTCTAGAATATGATGTGTTGCAACTTGAAAATTTAGATGCTAATATTTCAAGATATGTTGTTAAAAACGGGCTATTGAAAACTCTATAGGGTGGTGGTTTCATTAAAAAGATTGGCCTAAAATTTAGTAGAGTTTAAAAATATATTATACATTATTGAGGTGGCTTGGTGTTGAAGGTTTCAATGCCTATTCAAGTAAACTTGTGCTTTTAAGGTAAGGCCAAAAAAAAAATCCATCTAATATTTATAATGAATATGAAGAAGCTAGTAATATTGTAAAAATAAATAAAGAGAAAGCTATAGCTATTGATGATTTTTATTATAGATTAGATATTGAGGGAGGAGAAAAGAGATGTACGAATTATATCAAGCAAGTGATAAAAGTTTTGGAGACTTTGATTAAAAATAATGATAATAAGATGATAACAAAGACGAGATGTTAGGTAAATATGGAAGTGCGTTTGCCTTGTGAGAAGTTGTTAGTGGTGTTTTTAAGGTAAAGCTCTTTTAGGAACGATACAATGAATAGAATTATGAAATAGGTTATAGATTGATCCAAAAACTAGAGTGGAGTCAAGTGTGGTGAAATTTCATAAGGGTGAAAATTCAGACATGATGAGATATTAGTGGGATTTGAAGCAATATTATTGTAGTTTGGATATAAATTGTTTTAATAGAATTTTAAAGATCGAAAATTCAAAATGATTAGAAATGAGGCATTTTAGTTTACTTTTTTTAGAATCAATGTTCATGATTATCTTAATTATATGGAAACTGAAATTTTAATTCTTGAATAAGAAAATTATGGGAGTGAGTAATAGAACATAGAAAAATTATATTTCTTTTTGAGAACCAATATAGTTTTATGCTTGAAAATTCTGTTATTAAATTGATTTTTCTAGCAAAATCAATATAAATATTTAGAGAGAAATTTTATCTTCATATGATTTTTTTTTATTTTGACCATATATTGCCACCAAAATTTATTTAGTGCACATCATGAAAAAAATCCATGTTAAAGGTTTTGGTGAAGTTTGTGAAGATGTATGTGGTTGAATATTGGCTAGCTTTAGAAATAAATATTGAGTGAGTGTTCCCAATCAATATTAAGCTTGCATTGCTTTGCATTGGTTATTTTGATGATGACAATATTCAAAATAGATTTCTTATTTTATGTATATTTGTTGATGACAATTTTACACACTTAAAATTTTTTTGAAAAAGTTAAAAGTTTGAGTTACCATCATAAAAATATTTAGAAAATAATGGAATGTGGTGTTGTAGGATAAAGATGAGTATAAAATATGCATTTTGAGTTAGCACATTATTTTCTAATATTATAAGCATTACTAGAAGAATAAGTGATACATAAATATGATTTTTTGGATCTTTTATTTAGTGAGAGTGAGTGATATAAATGTAGATTCACATTATAAAGTAATGACAAGGTAGGGATGTCAAAAAAGCTCGTTGTTCGCGAACAGTTCGTGTTCGGTTCGTCAATGAGTTCGTGTTCAATTCGTTCGATAAGTAAACGAGACGAACGTGAACAAACTTTTTTCGTTCGGTTAGTTAAACGAACCAAACACGAACAGTGATGCGTTCGTTCGTGTTCGAATCGTTATTGTTCGAAATATAAAATAATTTAAATTAATTATATATAAAAAAATTATGATATTTTTAAAAATTAAATTTTATAAATTATAATATATAATAAATTAATAATAATAATATATTAATATATTATATTAATAATATACTAATATAGATATTATCTATTTATATAATATGAGTTATATAATTAATATAATATATTATTTATATATATTAATATTAGGGATGTCAAATGGCTCGTCGTTCGTGAACAACTCGTGTTCGGCTCGTTTGTTAAGAAACGAACACAAACAGTGAGTTCACGAATAATTTCGAACGAACACAAGTTCTGTTTGTTTGTGTTTGGTTCATTTACACCCCTATGACAAGGCGATTAAAATAGAAAATTGCCTTAGCAGTACTTTACGATAAGCATAATAGTGTTATAGTTTTTTTTTTTAAATTGCAATCAGAGAAACAATGTGTTTGGGGATCTGGGTTTTGAGTTATAAAGAATCATTGATAATCAAGTTGAGCGCGGTGGAATGAGATTGTTAAAATTATTGTGTAGTAAAAACATGAAGGATAGATTGAGAAATGATTATAGTGGAGTCATACTAGGAGTAGTATCTATTGAAGCTACTACAGTGAAAATTAACTTGGTTTTGAAAACCAGACCGGACATCAAACCGGAGTAAGGAAATTTTCATTGTTCATCGGGTGAACCGGGGGTTGAATCGTGTGACGTAATCAATGTAAATAATAAATAGTTTAAATTTCAAAAATTATAAGCATGATTCTTGAATCATATTAAAGTAATATCTTAGAAAAAATATTAAATTAAAATAAAATATCAACAATAAACTTCAGAGTTTGACAAATTTTTCATAAAATTGTATTTGAGATCAGAAAAGAAATAACACTTAGTAATATAAACGAATGTTCTCTATTGTAGACAAATACCCAAGCATTGACTAATATCTCACTTCACTGTAAAAGCTCTCCTTTTCCTAGTCCAATTTCAAATGCGTCGAAAGCTTCCATGGATGCTCATATTGCATGCACCTCGCTTTGCCCTGGTCCCATCCAACACAATCAAAATATCACGTAACAATCTACTATGATGAGATAAATTAAGAAGAAAACCTCATTAAAACAACAATATCAAACATATGCATATGCATTACAAACATAAACCTTAGAGACCTAAGAAGAAATTTAATTTATTGTTGCATGGATAGTTTAAAATCTTATCTGCCACATAAATCATGAAACAAAAAGTTGAAGATCATACCCAAACTATACAAGAACCTATCAAGCCTGCATTTAATCCCATTTTGGAGGAAAAAAAATATTTATGATGAAAAAACTACAATTTAATTGCAAGGAATTGAGGAGAAAAAAATGCAAAAAATAGCATCAAATGTTTTTCTTTGGCATATGGAGGAGAGAAGAGAAGGGAAGACATAAGAAAATGCGAAGTCGGAAGGCAAAAAATGCTTACAGAGGACGGGAAAGGCGAAGAGAAGAGGAGAGCTTTGATCCTTACTCCTTAGAGTATCTGTCTTCCAGGGTTTCGTTTGAGCGTTGGAGAGCTTCGAGTTTGTTTGCGCCTTTGATCATGACTGAGACGGAATGGGGATAAGAATCGCGATAAAAAGTTAGGACAAGTAGGAAACCACTAATTTTAAATACCGCTTCGCTAGTTGAGGGATCGGTTATTTGGGGTAATCGGATCTGGTTAGGCAGCTGCGGGTTTTCGGCCAACTGGTTGAACCGGCCGGTCCAGTCCTGTTTTTAAAACCTTGCTTGTGTGTTTTGGGAATTTTACAATGAATGGTAAATGATGCACTGATAGGACAATCATATAAATTTGATGTCGAAGGATTAGGAAGAAGGTTGGGGTAAATCTACGATAACATAAATATAAGTTATTAGAAAATTTTACACATAATATGTGTTATGCTTCATGCAACACGAAACAAGGACAAATGGAGAATGAGAATTCATCAGAATTGACTCTAAATTTTGGAATCAGGCTATTTACTATGTTGAACTTTTTCTTAAAAATTTTGTTGTTCTTCGGAGGTGTTTACTTTTCATGGTTAATGTCTGCTTAGAATTATTATTATTATTTGCAATTTTAGCAAAACTTGGTTGTTCCAGGTTAGGATGATGATGCTGAAAGTAATTGCAAGAACAATTGGATTGCACTTCCTCATCTTGTTAAACTTTTATCCATTCCTTCAAAGATATGTTCAGGTATTAAGTTGCATTTGTGGCTAATTATTTAGGTCAGATTTATGAAAAATTGCTTTTAGTCTCAGCTTAAAGCTTCAATGTTTATGATTGAATGTTTAAAATTTTACAGCCTCATCAGCGTGATGTGACAAATTTACTTGCTGCAGCAATACAGGCATGCCATGATGAGGTTGCAGTTCTTTTCTTTTTTTATAACCTTTTTTTATGTTACGTTTGCTTAATTTGATTCAACCTGTAATTGTTTGCACGTATTAATGTTTTCAAAAATAAAAATTCTAATAAGGAGACAAATATGCTTGTAATTCTCATGTATTTGAAAAAATCAAAGAGTTATCTTATGACATTTAATGGGGCATTTACATACATACCACGCAAGTCTTTTCTATTTACATATCTAAGTCCTAAATTTTAATATTTACATTCATAGCACTCAAATTTTTGATATCACATCTAATATGCTACTTTGACTAACTTTTAGTCAAATGCATATTTTTATGGATAGGTTTATATCACCAAGGTGGTATAAATGAAAATATCAAACTCTTAGGTGTTAGGCATGTAGATGCATAAGAATTATGTTGTACGTAATGTAAATTTCCCAACATAAATAAGAAAAGATTGGATTGTATGGCGCACATGAAAGACTGCCAACTGCATGTTTTTTTTAGGCCTGAAAATCCTAACTCTCTTGATGTTGTGCTTGTATATGTCATAGCATCTATTAATTATTTAATTTATTTTATGCACTTGAATTAAATAGTCTCATTCCTGGTTTGTATTGTTGTTAGGTACCTCCCGATGCAGTGGAACCACTTTTCAGACAAATTGTGAATCAGTTTGTGCACGATCGTTCTCGTCCTGAGGTATTGGATACTTGGTGTACAAGGCATTTATTTTATCGTCTGTGTATTACAACAGAATATGCATTTTTTTCCGACCTGCTTTGTTTTGATAGGCAATCACTATTGGATTAAATGCAGTACGAGAGATATGCCTAAGGATGCCTCTGGTATGTTTCTTTTTCTTTTTGAGTTGGCTGTTCCCATTAAACTTTGCGGTTACCCAATCTTTTCTTATCTTTTGACATTTTGTTGGTTCAGTTTTTCCTCCAATAAATTCCATCACGCGGTAATAAGGAATATTTGATTTCACATTTATTTGAACTTTTTTCTTTTAGGAAGCTTAGTCATAATTATGGGATATGCTTATTATAGCATATGGTCTTGGTTAATGTGCTTATGTTAAAAATCAGTTATTAGTTGTATGAAGATTTTTCAAAAGTTTGTGTACATCATATACTTAACCGCGTCTGATGCCATTGAAAATGAAATAGAGCTGATGTTTTAAATTTCTTAGAGAAATGTTTAGTAATTTATGTGTTAAATTTGGATGTAGCTTTAGCATACAATGAATGATTCTAGGGAATACTAATGTCAAAATAGATTTCGACGTGTGATAGGTGAGTTCATAGCTTATAACTCAAGACTTTTTGGGGATCACTTTTGTTTTTTGTTTTATTTTTATTTTAAAAGCATGTTTGTTTAGTTCATTTTTTCTTGTCATTGGCTTTTGTTTAAAAAAAAAACAAATCAGCTTATTTTTAATAGGCTCAAAACATCTAAAAGCTATTTTGAGTGTTTTTAAAAACAACTAAATATGTTATAAAATGTTAATTTGTTTTATTTCAAGTAACAATATAAAGAAAATAAATTAAATACAAAATAAAAAAAAAAATCAAAAGTGATCCCAAATGACCCCTTACCAACTCTTGCCCATATTTGTTGGTCAGCCTCCAAAATAAAAGCATCATGTGCACTATAATTTTAAATTTTTATACCGTTCATCTACCATCATTAATCCATGTTTTTTCACTAGAAGGGTTGCTAATTTTATCTAAAGAGTTAAGTTTATCTATTTAGAACTTTGAAGGAACTGCTAGATTTGTTATTCATGAATTCTTACGCTTTTTATTGAAATTGTGTTGATTGCTTTATCTACCGTTTATTTTAGTTTTCTTTCAATTTTGTTCTTAGTTAATGAATGAAGATTTGCTTCAAGATTTAGTTTTATACAAGAAGTCTCATGAGAAAGCTGTTTCAATTGCTGCACGCTCCTTAATCACTTTATTCAGAGAGGTACATTATAAAATCTGTCATTTTACTCGACCATCCTTGCCCTGGATCAAAATATGAGCAATTTGTCTTTGCCTATGTTTGCAGATATGCCCTTCATTACTGGTCAAGAAAGACCGTGGTCGCCCCATCGATCCAAAAGCTAGGCCAAAAGCATTTGGAGAAGTTAGTGTAGCCACTGATGTGCCTGGGATAGAGTTACTCCATCATGAAAATGATCTATACACCAGTTCTTCTGAAGATGATATGGATGAAGAGGATGCTGTTGATGAAGAAGCAGCTTCTACAGGAGATAATGGAGAAGAAGGCAATGCCAGTGATGAGAATGATGATTTGGATGATGGCGTTGAGTTGGATGAGAGTGATGAAGGTTCAGAGAGGGAAGACTTGGCTGATGAAGAAATAGATGAAGGACTAAAAGCGCAGCAGATTTCTGCTGATGAGCAGGATGAAGATAATGATCACGATAGCGGTGATGATGGAGAAGATAGGGATGCTGAAGAAGTGGGAGATGAGCCAAGGAAGAAGAAGAGGAAGCTAGAAGATCATTTAAGAAATTTGAATCCTGCTGATTTAAGCCTGCGTGCTCTGAGAAGACTAGCAGCAATGACATTTGCTAAACCTTCCAACGATGGAGTTGACGGGATTCTTTCTAATGAAGACTTTCAACGTATTAATGAACTGAAGGTAATGATGATGTTTTATGTATGGAATTCATAGCAAGCCATCAATATTTTTTAGGGAAAATTACATACAGTAGCACACAGTTCTTCTGTATTTACACATCTCACACCTAAACTTTCATGTTTACATACATAGCACTTTGGTGCTTTAAACCTATGCATGAAAAGGTGTATTTCACTTTTATAAGGTCGATTGTTCTATTTTTGATGTGATGTTAAAGACTTGGTGTAAATATGAAAGTTTAAATGTGAGATATGTAAATGCGGAAGAATTGTGCTATGCATGTAAATGCCCCTATTTTTTTACTAATTATGATGAAATGACTGAATGATCAGCTTATATAAGCATTATAAGTACATTATAGCATCATTTTTCTGGTTAAATTTCTTAGGCAAGGAAAGAAGCAAAGCAGGCCTTATCTCAACATGGTCTTTTGAGAAAGGATTCATGCTCTACATCAGCAACTTTCAGAATACCATCTTCCGAGCAGCTAAGAACAAAACGTTTGGATCCAGCTAAGCTAGAGGTGAGCTCTCTAGTGGGGTTGCTTCATTTTGAATGAAATCCTTTTCAGTTCCATCAATCAATTCTTATTTATCTTACGAAGTAGATTGAGCTTGTTATCCTAAATCCTAAATTGTGGAAAGATTTGAGAATATTTTAGATTTGCTTCCCATTTGGCCTTTTTTTTGTTCTACTAAAATATTATTTGCATAATTCATCGTTTTAAGTGACCACTGTTTTGTCTGTAAATTTTTTGTTCATGAGCAATATTTCTTATTTTTAATATTACATGCGGTAATTGTGTGATGTTTAGGCACACATCAGGAGTAAGCTTAGCAAGGATGAGAGATTAGCTCTGGTTCGAGCAGGCAGAGAAGACAGAGGGCAGTATCAGGCCAGAGCTGCTGTTAAATACATATATATATATATATATTTTAATGAAATGTTATTTCACGAATCTCGAATTTTTCTAGCTTTTGTCATATGCTTTGTCCGGATCTATTTTTTGAATGTTTTTCTTCCTCCCGGTCTTTAATAAGAGCATTATATTTTTTTTTAATAATCTGATAATTTCAAGATGTAACAATACAGAAAAAATGTGTAGGTACCTAAGAAGTTGTGCTCTTTTCTGTTTTATAGGGATATGATATTGGTTGAACGAATTTGATCGCGTGCGATTTTTTTAGGGAAATTTACATACATTACACGGAATTCTTATGTATTTACATATCCCACACCAAAACTTTGATATTTACCTGCATATCATTTTACCTATTGCATGAAAAGGTGCATTTGAGTTGTGAACAATAATAATTAGTGGTAGCTTTGATGTGATAGGAAAGAAATGAGTGGTATGTGGGTAAATATGAAGATTTGGATGTGAGATATGTAAATAAAGAAGAATTGCGTGCTATGTATGTAAATGCCTCCTTTTTATCTCAATGTTATTGCATAAGCCCATAATGCGAGGTTAGGATTGTTAAGAAGGGGCTATACTAATTCCTTTGGTAGGAAACCTATTGGCTTAATATGGTTTCGAAAGATGCCTTGCGGTGTTGAGAACTGATTATATTTAATCAATACACTATATTGGCTCACAGGGATTAATGAAAGCCAGAATGAATTTTTTATCTTAGAGTTTTCTCTTTTTAGAAATTTATCTCCAAATAGGTTTTTCTTTTTTTAATTGTGGGGGTTGAGATTTCCCAAAGAAGAAAGCTCTTAAGATAATTTTATCCCGGGCATATCCAATAATACTCTTGACTAAGGAGTCAATGTTTTTGTTTGAGGCTAATTAATATTTAAAAAATTTATCAGGTGAAGGAATAGATTATAAGAAACTTTATAGAGGATGAATGTGTGGGAAGCTCTAGGAATCAAAGTAGAATGAGCTAAAGGATACTAAAATTGATATATAAAATGAGGATTAACCTACCAAAGTGTATGACTACTCTGGTCAATATCCTATGGTTTTATCATTTTGGGTTATCAATGCCCCATGTCTACTTAGTTAAGCAGTCACTAAAAGATCTTTGTTGGTAATAATGAGTTATCTATTCAAAGGAATCTCTTAGACCAAGCATGCAGGCGGTCAGTAGACATGACTTACACTCTACTCTCATACGAGAGAGAATCTTTGCTTAGTTGAGCTCGACTCGTTAATGACCTCACGAGTTGAGTTTATTGAGCTGTGAGCTAGAGCCAAACTCAAGCTTGTTTATTAATAAGTTGGAGCACTTCGAGGTTCAAATCATTGGCCGTGAGCCAACTCGACTAGGATTCCAGCCATGTTGATGCTTTTTCCAGTTGAGCTATTGCTGCACTTCTTCTCTGTCATCATCAATTACGTTGATGGTTTCTTTGGTTAGCTCCCACAGTAATTTCAACATGCTCGTGAGCTGGCTCACAAGCTTGGTTCGCGAGCTAAGCTAAGCTTGAGCTTGTCATTTGAGCTCGACTCGAGTTGGAGCTCAAGCATGTATTTCAACATGCTCGTGAGCTGGCTCACAAGCTTGGTTCGCGAGCTAAGCTAAGCTTGAGCTTGTCATTTGAGCTCGACTCGAGTTGGAGCTCAAGCATGTATTTTGACGAACCAACCAAGGTTGAGTTAGGCGTGGCTTAAGCTCAACTTGATTCATTTACACCCTTGGTTCAAATTAGACTTATAATATTGCAAGTGATGGTGCACACCAAGATTGATAATACTACAGGAGCTCTAAGACTAGAGTGTTGGAAATATAGGACGTGGGATTTGGTCTTATAGTTTGATTGCATATAATCAAGCCACCCAAAAGATCTTTTCAATATATGGTAAACACATAATATATGAAGATTCAAATAATATGGACTTCTCAATATATTATGTTGTGAGATCAAAATAAATCTTCCCTCAATATAGTATAAGGGAGACCAAGAGATATAAACTCTCAATATGGTGTGATGAGAAATCCAAAAATAATGATTTCTCTAAATATAGTATGTGGAGGCGTTAAGAGATATAAACTCTTCTTAGCAAAAATATAAACATTTAAAATTCACACACATATATAATAATTATTGAAATGATGATGGGGGAATTTACATATATAATTTAATCAGAGTTTTTGATCTACAAAATAATAAAATACCAAATTTCATAGTAATTGCTCGTGGGAGGGTCTATTTATTTGGTTATTACAATACATATATATTAATCATAAAATTGGGAAATTTACATACATACCACCCAATTCTTATGCATTAACATCCATAACACCTAAACCTCAATTATTACATAGAGACTACATTCCCTATGCATAAAAATGTGTATTTCACCGTTTAGACGTCAAAATGTAAGTGTTTTTGATGTGAAGTGAAAATTTGGGTGGACCGTATGTAAATGCTCTAAAATTATAAAGAAAACCTCAAGTTTTCTACCTCCCGTCCAAAAAAACAAAAAGAAAAATACATTTTGAAAAGGAAAACACATGTGAAGTGAACGATTTGGATGGTATGTATGTAAATGCTCCAAAATTAAAAAAGATAATAACTTCTTTTATGCCTCTCGTTAAAAAAATAATTAAAAAAAAAAAGAAAACCGCACTTGCCTCATGCGTGGATTGTCCTTGGCTCTCCTCGCCTCTCTCTTGTTCGTCCGTAATTGAACATCAAAGCTCTGGATTGCGAGGGAGTTCGTGTCGAAGCTCTGGATCGAGAGGCGACGCGATCGCAAGCTCTGGATTGCAAGGCGACTCGGTCAGTAACAAAGAAGTGACGCTCGAAGCTCTGGATCGTGAGGTGACTCGATCAGTGACACTCGAAGCTCTGAATCAGGAGGCAAAGTGACACTCAAAGCTCTGTATTGCGAGCCACCTCGACCAGTGACGCTCGACGAGGACACTGCTTGCTTCGACAGGTTGCTGCAAGGCTTTGGTAAGACCTAAACACCTTCAAGCATCAACGCTTTGGATTCTGCTTCACCACTCGACCTTTGTTTCCCGTGTTTGCGTTTGGTGTCGAGCAGTGTCCACTCCGTTTCAAGGGCGGTGCCTGGGAAGGCAGAAGTGTCGACACTTTTATTAAGTGTCAGACACGGTATTGACTCGTGTCGGAGATGTGCATGTGTCCGAAACGTGTCGGACATGGGTACGGCTTCTATTTGGGGGCGTTGATACTTCATAGAACGTATGTCTACTTCAACGTAGTATGAGGAGAACTTTAAAAATGATAATTCTCCTTAATACTGTGTGAGGAGACATCAAGAGAAAGGGAATGACTCGAGAATTGTCCTCAATATGATAGAGGAGATTCACAAAAATGAAAGACATGGACTTACAATTTGATCTCCTTGAGTCAGACAAACTCATATATCTTCTCTATTTGGTGGAGAAGAGGCTAAAAAATGGGACCTACAACTTGGTCTTGTGTGACCAAGGAAACCCAATCTATATTATGAATATAATATATAATATAAAAACTTGGACTTACTTCCTACACGGGTAAAAAATTCCAACTAACCACCTAGTTGCGCGTGCATGTAGTAAGGGACAATTAAATACAAATGAAAGCAAAAGACGCACTCTCTAAAATAATTAGTTGGTTTTAGCTTGAATGAAAAGTGAGCGTTTAGGTTATTTATCCTAAATGTGGATTTTAGATTATATGCAGACTCGCATCATAACATCTGTATGCGTCAACAAAGCTAGAGGCTGATATGTCAAGTGCTTATGTTTTGCATGAGGAGCCTATTCCTACGACTCTTAGACTAGGTTTGTTTTTGTTATTCTAAAATATCCATCTTATGTGTGAATAATGTGTGGATCTAGGGTGCTAATCGCCAATTTCAATTAATGCTAAGTACAAAACATCAGGAAAATGATCTAGTGATCATATCTTATAGGATGCAAAATCCAAAATCCAAATCATTTTTATTCTAAGTCTTTCTACTCTGATTCCTTGTCAAACACAAGCTAGTTAGACACAATGGACAAAGATTTTGTATGCATAAACATGTTCCAGTTATCGCCAACCAAATGTATATAATCAAACATAGTTGAATTTAGGAATTATCATTAATGAATAGAGCTATCATTTACACTCGCGCGCGCGCGCACACGATCTAACACGGATGAAAACATATAATATGATGAATGCAGGATGCATGGGCTCATAATATGATGTGGATAAATGTATAAGATCTTTTCTTTTTTTTTTAAAATGGAGATACCTTCTTCTCTTTTATGATTGAAAATATATAAGGACAATGCAAACACATAATAAATATTCTCATTTTGCATTTTTTTCAGCAAGTAATTATTGAATGTTAACATTTACCTAATACTTCAAAAAATATTGTTTAAGATACAAAATAAAGCATTCATATTTTACAACATATTAAGAACTATTCAAATGCATACCACACATATTGAAGCTTGAAACATTTATTTTATCATAGCAGGAACTGATTTTACACACTCACAATGCATGCACTGTCCGATCTTGCGTGGGCAAAATGGTTATGGTTTTTGTTAAATCTTGTGACTCCCTTTGTGAACTTTTGGTTTGCCGCTCATGTCTCTCTAAGTTCGTGAAAAAATCAACCAGAACTTTTGAGCGTTTGTATCCCATCATATACTTGTTTCATATAGTAGACCAGCGTTGTATTTTTGTTGGAAGGTTTCTCCGCTTTTGAGGGAATCACTTATAACCCAATGAAATATTTGAGTTTGCTTAGATGTTTTACTTTAAATTCTTTGGATAATTGATCTTTCATTTTTCTCATTCACTCGAGATTATTTCCCGTTGTAATCATGTATAAACTACATACACAATGAGAAATGTATTTTGGCAATCTTTGAATTTCTATAGAAATATTGTGATTTTAAAGTTATTGTTTGAAATTCAAACTTTATATAGCTTTGGTAAAGTTCTGAAACTATATATATAGATGTATATATTTCTTTATTTAACTATGCATGCATCTATTTAACAAAATTGTAATTTATAACTGGTAGTTAAATTGGCTTATCATTGTTTAATTTCAGACCGGCGGCCTCAGCAACCGGCAGAAACAGCACAAGAAAGTCATGCCTCTGGCTGCCAAAAAACACAGAGCAGCTCGCTCTCGGCAAGAGAAAAAGCAGCAGCGGAAGCGTAACAGGAAGCAGTTCAAGGGAAGGAAAGCTTGGAAGTGAGGCTTTACATATCCGCCATTTGTTCATTTTATCAAGATGATCTTATATTATTAGATTAAAGATCAGGAAAGAACAGGAAAGAACCGCCTTAATTTTATTAGTTTAGAGTAAATTTTAGTTAATTTTACGAATTTTTTTTTTCATCAGAATTGCATTGCAGCATTTAAATTTGTTATTTATGAAATTGGCCTATACTGAAGTAGGGCTGTCAAAAAAGCTCGTTGTTCGCGAACAGTTCGTGTTCGGTTCGTCAATGAGTTCGTGTTCGATTCGTTCGATAAGTAAACGAGACAAACACGAACAAATTTTTTTCGTTCGGTTAGTTAAACGAACCAAACACGAACAGTAATGCGTTTGTTCGTGTTCGAATCGATAAATTATAATATATAATAAAATAATAATAATAATATATTAATATACTATAGTAGTAATATACTAATATAGATATTGTATACTTATATAATGTAAGTTATTTAATTAATATATAATATTATTTTTATATATTAATATTAGGGATGTCAAACTAGCTCGTCGTTCGCGAACAACTCGTGTTCGGTTCGTGTTCGACTCGTTCGTTAAGAAACGAACACGAGCTTATTTCAAATAAATTAAATTTTAAACGAACCGAACACGAACACAAGCTTTGTTCGTTCGTGTTCGGTTCGTTTACACCCCTATACTGAAGCTTATAGAGATATTTTATTGTACAATGGGAGGGTTTAATTATTTTTAGTTTGTGTTTTAGCTTTTTACATTCGGATTTATGAGTTGGCTCTAGAATTAGAACAGATTAAGGGTTTGTTGGGGGAGAAAATTTTGCGTACGTCATCCGTACGCGAGCTATGTCCAGACGACGGACGCGATGCAACGGCGAGTTGTTTTTTTTTTCGCCGGTGTATCGCGTTTGATGTTCGAACGCAGCTCGAGTTCGGATGATGCACGCAAATTTTTTTCTTGCTTCGGGTTGTTGCAGCTTATTAAAAAATAAATGTAAAGGTGTTGAAAAATTAATCTAATGCTCAAAAAATTTTGGTGATTACAATAAATTTATTTTTAAAAAAAAAGTCAAGTCGCAACAAGAAAGGTGCACCGCACCCAACCAGTACCGGTGAGAAAGCGGAGGTTTCAATGGCAGCATTTTGAAAAGCTATCAAAATATAGTTTACCCAAACTAAAAAGACAGCGGTGTACCACATTGCCGCACCAAACGTATCCTACATCAAATGCCACTTCCAACCATCAACGAAGCACCTGATTTTTAGTGAAGTGTGTGATGAGAATTAATACATGTGATACTAATTTTAGAATTTGTGATGTGGCAAATTACACCTTTATTAATAAAATATTAAATAGTATGTTCCATAATGTTTACTTAAAATATATGTATTTATATTTTCTTATCTACAGAAAATCAAAGTTTTTTTTTTAATTCAATCGTGGTAAAACTTTTGAGGTTTTTTTTTTGTATTTTTTGTATTTATATATTTAATACTTTTATTTATTTAGATAATATTTAGACATGAAAATGACTTAAAAAATTATGAATATTTATTGGCTTAAAATAGAGGTTATTTATGTACATATCAAATAATTGTTATGTACACGTTAGAGCATTTTTTCAATAAATGACCATAACATTTAAATTTAAATATCAGGTATATGAAAATAGAGGTGTAAACAAGCCGAACACGAGCGAGCCCAGTGTTAGCTCGTGTTCAGCTCGTTTATATTTCGAGTTCAAAAAGTGTGTTCGTTTTTGGTTTGTACGAGCCGTTCACGAACAAATAGTAGTATTGACAACCCTAATTACATAGCCATAAGATGTTAAAAATTGGGCAAGGTTTAAAACATCATTTGAATCTAATTAATAATTTTATTCTATTTTCTTCATTAATACTTTTAATTGATTATTAATCTTTGTAGTCTTGTATTCAATTAATTTTTTTTAGAAATACTACTCATTAAAGATATATATAGAATTGATTAGTAGTATTTTGAACCAAAACGAGCCGAACACGAACTAACAAATATTTATCTGTATTGTTCATATTTGACTCGATAACTTAACGAAAGAGCCGAACACTAGCTGTTCACGAACAACAAACCATTTTGACAGCCCTATACGTAAATAACAATTGGGCGGAATTTATAAAGGCTAAAATATAGCCCAATATACCCAAATATAACGAACTATTTTATAATTAATTTTCTTTCGTCCTCTGCTCCTCGCTTCGCTCTTCCACTCGCTATAGTTCACGAAGAATCCCTAAACGCTAGAATGGAGGTAGAAACATCGGGTTCTTCGACGTCAAGCCTCGTTAACAAAGCCGTCGTAAGAAATATCTCTCTGCACGCCATTTTTTTTCTTAGTACGTAGATCTCTTCCTTTTGTTCTTCATGGTTCGAATTTTTGAATAGCTTCCCGGTGACGTTGCTTTGGACCTTACAAGTTTGTCTGATCAGACAATCAGGCTGGGAGCGGGGTTGCGCCAGGTACTTATCAAGTTATTAGATCAAAATTTTACACTCTTATGTTACGAGCTGCTTTTTAAACTCGCATGTTCTCAGAACTGTGATGTGGTATCAGCTGTGAAGGCTGGGAAGCTTAAGTTCAAAAAGCCAAATAAGTGCTGGGTAGAAAGCTCGCAAAAGAGAGTGAGTTATTGGTGAAGTGTTTGGTTTCTTGGAGTCTGAATTGTTGGCTGTAAAACGCTCTAAAGCTTGTGTTTTCTTGTTGACTGATAAGCTACAAAAGACAAGAAAAAGAAAGGAAAGAGAAGCATATTCCACTCTTAGTCACACTTCCCATGCAAGACGATTTTATTATTTTAGACATTATTACATTGTTCACGAAGTTGTCTTTTTACCATTGCATCTCTTAATACCCTGTCCTGCTTTTGGGTGATCTTGCACTATGTTCCCTCTGTAGAAGATACAGTTCTTGGTATTGTTGTGGATGCTAGAGCAGATGTAAGCATTTCTCGTGCTCAAGTACTACCTGATATTTATGTTTATTTTTTAGAGGCATTTACATACATACCACCCAATTTCTATGTATTTACTTATCTAATGCGTAAACTTTTACCACTTAAATCCTACACATCATATAAAAGATACCACAATTTTAACTTTTAAAAAGTGAAATATACCTTTTCATGCATGGATAAGGTGGTAAGTAAAATTTGAAGTTTAGGTATTAGATTGCTAAATACATAGGAATTGAGAGGTATGTATGTAAACATTCATTTTTTTGAACCTTTTTTATTTTTGTGTATTTCCTCCACCCTGAGTTATGCTGAGCAATCAATTTTGTTTTGACTCTATTGAAAACTGGGTTAGCAATTTACAATATGGCTATAATTGTAATGGCTGGTAAAGCATCTGCCTTGCATATGCTGTTGCAGATTGGGCATGATTTAATCCAGCTTCTGTTGTCTTTTACTGCTGCCTTCGTTTCATCATTCATTTTCTTGCCTTTTGTGATACTACATTTCCCTATTTATGAGCTATATCTTTCTTAGCAATTAGTTAAATTGTTGGTTATAAATTTCTCTATCATTGCCATTTTTTTGTTTTGTGTTTCCATGTTGCAAGTTTGTTGTCCATGAGGTGATTTTTATTTTATTTTTGTGATTTCAGAACTTTCTAGTAGACATAAAAGGCCCAACATTAGCTTTTTTGCCAGTACTTGCATTTGAAGGAGGGACATGAAGAAATATACCAAAATTTGAGGTATCACTATATTGTAACTTGGTGCTATAATATACTTTCTTGTTGGTTTTTTACCTTTAAAAATAAGTTTCAGTTGTTTGACAATATTTAATATATGTTTGGAGCAAAGCTATACTTCTTTGGATATAGTAGTTGTGTTTGTTCAACATTTAGTACTGTACTGCAGAAGTTTGACATTTTAAACTCATTGTGTAATATTTTAGTTATTACTAAGGATCCAATGAATGCATTTTGTCATCTGAAAACAATCTTTTGCGTATGTTTTCATATATTTGGCACTACTCTAGTATTCTTGAGGATGAATATGTTAATTCAGCAGTTTCGGAGTTCAAATTCTACAATAAAGCCATTAACATTTACCTTTTCCATTTTCATTTTGATACTTTAACATAAATACTTCTTAATTACATCTTTTTTCCTTGATTTTTCATGTGTTTTTTTCATTTGGTCTCAATAAGTGTATTCCCAACAGATCTAATGTAGATTTTTTAGTTTCATATTCATCTTAATTTATTTATTTTTATCACACTAACTTTGGTTGTCTATTACTTCTTTGTTTCCTGATGCCATCATATTAATAACTAGTCCAATTTTAGTTTTATAAAATATTTGTTTTGATCTCCATGGTATCATCTTACTTTGCAATTTATTTGTAGAATCACTTTATTTTTTCTTTAGTTGTGTGTAGACTTCGTGATACTGGAGTTAGGCCAAAACCACAATACGAAAAGCGAATATTATTACTGAAAACAAATAGAGATTACGATCAGAGACGCTTGGAACTAGGAAATAATAAAGACTCAACACGAGCTCAACTAGGGTTGAGGTTGAAGGCGATGGGGCTGCGGTTTAAGGAGAAGTAGTGGCTAAAGTGGATTTGGTGGTGAACGAGATTGAGTCGGAGGTGGTTGGAAGGGGGCGACATCAATGGAAGGGGGCGACATCAAGTGGCGACATCAAGTAGGATCATGTAGGTGCGTGGCTGGAAGGGGGCGACATCAAGTAGGCAGGTGGCTGGAGGAGCTGTAAGCAAGCGAGTTTGGGGTTGCTGGAAGAGGCAACGAGTTTGGGGTGGTTGGAAGAGGGTGGCAGCAGGCGCGAAGCAACAACAACAAGTAGGTTGGGGGAGGGGCGGCATCAAGCGAGAGACAGCTAGAAGGGCTGGCGGCGATGGTCGGGAGCAGCAAAATATCAAAGATGTTGTTTTCCGGGTGGCATCATCAACTTTGATGACGGAGGCAACAGAGGAGGGGCGGCGGGAGATATGCACCACTTTTGGATGAATTATAACTGGAGCACCTTCTCGCATTCATATACAACCCTAGGAAGGAACAATGAGACGTTGGCAGTACTCTTGACATAAAAATTAGAAAAATTGAAAACCTAAGACAAAATAAATACATATATAATCCCTAGATAGCT